GCGCGTCGCGGAATTGTTCCCGTCGAGAACCGAGGAGGAAAACGGCCGGTCTGAACGGAACGCGGGGAGTCGGAGAGATGGTCCCTCGGCGGTGGGGTGTCCGCTCGTACGGGCGGTCCACCCGCAGCACCGGTTGCCCTCTCACCGCCCGTCGCCGCTCGCTCATCTCCTAAATGTTGTTCGAGTCTCGCCCTCAATACCGGTAATATCCCTTTTGCCGATAAACCCCGAATCGCTAATTGTTCGATTAATTCTTCTACCGTTAAAGATCGTATCCAATCCTTCCCGGGGGGTGTTCGCAACATTTTTAATCTATTTTAAAGGTAACGGTTGGTGATAACGCTAACTCGGTTACACGCGAGACAAACGGGGAATCGAAACGTTTGTTTTCTTATTCTCAACGTTCGCAATCGGTACTACGCGGTTACCCGTTTCAACGGTACGAACACGTGCTAAACAAACTCTGCCTAGCTCCGATGGGCTCGCTAGTGGCCTTGACGCCCCTTCGACAGTTTCTTTGTCCGTTAACGAAAATAAGCCGGGCTATCTGACTCGAGTGTTGTATGTATACAGTTATACACTAGGGTAACAAAAAAACACTCTCCTTACTTCTTACATATACTAGAATCTATGGTGTTAAAGTTTTCAGTTTTATCGATATCTTTAACAAAAACAAAATCAATGTATTATTTTATAGCTATTGTAATAAATGTATAATTCTATAAGGAAAATTCCGCAATGCTATGTGTGTTTACGTGCCGCGAAGCTCGTCCCGAATTTCCTGGAATTCTCGCGTAGTCCTAGAGAAGGATAGGAATATATTTTACAATTGCGATAGGAATACATGATATAAATCGGGTAATATTTACTTATTTAATATTTAGCGTATAAATTACTTACATAAATAGTAAAATATAGACAGTTGGTTATATTGTCATACGTTTTTACTTTTGTGACTTTCAGTTTAAAAGTCACATACTTATCTACTAATTAATTTAAAATGATTAGCGGTCTGACATGAGTTGTACGCTCATAAAGTATTAATAAGAACGAGTGGTCGAAATTTATGTTTGATCTCATTTTCGTCATAATAACGTCACTATGTTAAAAACATTTTCAGTCAGAAATGTTAGGTACAAAAATGTTTAAATATTGTTTTTAGTATAACATCTGATACCTTGTGATTTTAATCTTTCGACTTCGTTTCCGCTTGCCTTCTTTACTCTCTGCCTTTTTCAGCAAACAATGAAAACAGCTGCGGGATTTGAATTACGATTCTGGTACTTCTGGTATTTTCCCAGACAATGGTATTGTCCCATTTCAATTCTAACCTAAAGGATTATGTGAGCGATATTACTGTATAGTCCAAACTGTATAATGTTTGATCTCGTTTTAATGAGAAAAATGCGCAAAATCTATTGCTAAAATTAAAAAGAAAAAATCAAAACTAAAAGCGTTTTATACTTATGCATATAAGTATTGTTTCATGTATATATCCGAACTATGATTACGTTTCATTTCTCGGTGTGCGATGTACATGATATCTCGAGGGCCAGTTGCCCCCACTCATTAATATCTTAATAACTATTTTTCATGGCAACTTGCTAAAATATACGTTTACAATCATATCACCACGAAACCAGTATCTCGAATTTATTAGTATGTAGTTCTATTTATCGCTACTCGAGAGATATAAATTCGTATATAACCAGAAATACAAATAGCCCGTCGATAATTTTAATCAGCGTTCTAAGGGAAATTAGTCCATCAGTGTATCTGGGCAGAATGAGCTCGATGAGGTAAGCTAATAAAATGTAATAGCTTAATTTTGTTAACACTCTTATTATGATATAGTTTCAAACCCACATTTGTATTTGTAAAATAATATAGTTTTAAACCCACATTTGTATTTGTAATATACCGAAGTAAATGTAACTGTATCTGTAACATCAAAATTCATATGCTACACATGAAGAATAACACATCCCAACAACTTCAAATAACTGATATACTTCAATCAAATATTACTTCACATGCAAAAAATTATAGAATATTATGTAGAAATTTTGAGGTAAGGGTCAGCAGCATTTTTCTTAAAATCATAATTTACACGTAATAAAACAAAACACAAGAAATATAAATATATAAATATCTTACTGCTAAAATGAGTCTCGGTGATGCTCGATTGAGTGGGAATTTCGTTAGTAACAACATTTATGCGTATTTTAAACGTTTAAATTAATTAAAATATAATAGTAAAATGTGTTACTTTTAGATAGATATAATTACACATTACCATAAAAGTACATCGCATCTTTAAACACGTTTCACAGTGACACAATCGAATGTGGAAATACATTTGTTAAAGTTCTAATTAATTAATGATACATAATTTTGTTATATAATTCTGTTCGTTCATAAGCTCGCCATACTATCAATATAATCAAAGATTTTATGATATATTTTTAATCATTTTTTTTGCATCATAAATTTGTGAAGTTTAAGGAAATTTTACAAATTCATAGCCATAGAAAGTGTAAAGTTTAAAGAAATTGTATACATTTATCGATTTGAAGCTTTTAGTGTTACATATATCTATAACTTCTAAAGAAAGTTATACAAATGTGGCTTCTATCTGCAGTGCTGCGAAACCTGCCAAATTAATAGAATTATATGAACCTAGACAGATTGGACTTGGAAGTATTTTCGCTACTATAAACCGCTATCAACCGCATAGTATAGAAAAACGGGGTGTTTTGCATCCGTGGGTACCCAGTTTTACTGCATTCAATATTTTAGTTTCCTATGAATTGTTATAACTCGTTCAAGAGCATTAGAATGTCAATATGTCATGCGTGTCAGAAGTAAAACGATAATATAAGTACAGAGGAAGATTACGATTAAAAATAAGTGGTACATCATTCATACTAGAAAATGTATTTAAGCAAAAGTTACATGACTATCAAAAGCTCATAGAGTGCTAACATTAGTTTGATGTTAGTTTGCTTCTTTATCGTTAGACCGTCACCTCCATTTCTTAAACAGTGTATCTAATATTACTTTTTTAATTTGGATAAAGCATAAAACTTTCGATAAAAAAGTGTGAATAGTGGTAAAAGTTAAAATTAATACCTACCGAAATGTTATCAAAATAAATGTCAAAAGACACTTTCTTAATCTGATTATGAGTAAAGGTCGAATTAGAAAAAAGTTAATTAAGTACGTAAGTAGTATATCTGGCATATCTTCAATTGCCGCCGATAATGTTCGATAAATTTCATTTGTTGTTATACCTAGCAGGAATTCAACTACTGATACTTTGAAAAATCGCACTGCTATTTTTATACAGCTTTGGTATGAATTGATAAATATCAAATTCTTATTTGCATTCATTATTTAATATTTTTAATCGATGAACAATTTTTTTAACTTACTTGTTACTTACACGTGTAGCAATTGTTTTTAACGGTACTTAAAACATTATAAGAAGTCGTTCGTAGTGTATAGAAGGAGATAGAAAATGCAATTTCATTAAAACACTATTAACACTAGAAAGACTGAAACTTATTATATACCTATATTGCCCCAAAGCAGTCAAAATGACTGTATTGTGAAAGAATAACTAATGTGTAAAGAAATTTGTTTAAAATTAATTTTTAATATTTCTTATACTATTTACAGTCATATAGCAAGTTATTAGTAAGTATTAACAATAAAAAAAATTTACTTCACTTGGAAAAAAAAATAATTTATGCATTATTTGTACATTTTAAGCAAATGTAAGTTGAAATCTTTTTATGTGTACATCTTCCGCAAACATACTTTTGACATTTTTCGCATATATTATTTGTTTTGTTATTGTTGCAAAGCCGTACTTGACAAAATTTTCGCTTGTTAGAATATGTTGTATTTGATGTTTGTGGGTCTTCATTTTCTGATGACTTTTCCTGCCTTGCAGCTCGGTAATCGGTGGAAAGCTGTTCTGCTAATTGGAACAAGAACTGTTTTCGTTGTATTTGTATTCCTGTCGCTTCTTTGTAAAGGATCCAAGCATTTATAGCAGCCAAATCTAAAATATTGAAAAATACTTGGAGGGGCCATCTACGAGAACTCGATTTTACGGTATATTTTCTTGCCATTTGATCCGTCATATCAACTCCAAATTTTGTTTTGTTATAAAATTGAATAGTGTCCGGTAACATTTTTTTATTACTTCTATCAATTTTCACATATTTATGTCTGGAACTTAGAACAACTACTTTTTTATTCGGTTTGCTTTTAAATATTGTAAGGACAGAATTTTCCGATTTATATAAGAGAGTGAAAAAACGAGGCATGTTATCCTTCGTTTGTTTAGCTACTTTGGGTAGTTCTCTTTTATTTCCTCTAATAGTTCCAACTAGTGTCGTTTTTTTGGCCAATAATTTCGTCGCGAGTGACGTGCTAGTAAAGAAGTTATCGGTCGTGATATTCCTTCCACAGTTTGTGTATGGCTCAACCAGTTTCAGAACAACGTGTTCACTGAGAAGCATTGACGATGGTCGTTGTTCGTCTTTCCCCAAGTAAACAGAACCATTCAAAATGTACTTGCTACTAACATCTGATGCAAGCCAGAATTTGATGCCAAATTTGTTGGGTTTATTAGGCATATACTGTATAAACTTGCACCTGGCTTTTGTTGGAAACAGTTGCTCGTCAACTGTTATATTTTGCCCTGGTTGATAGCAAGCTTGACTATTTTCAATAAACTTGTCCCATATTTCCGAAACCAAGGCAAATTTATTTGTTTGGAGGCATCTACTTCTTTCGGTTCTTTTGTCAAAACGAATAAATCGTAGGATTTGCTTGAACTTATCTCTGGACATAGTTCTTCTAAAAAATTCGGGGCCCCACTTTTCTAACCATAAATAGCTCAGTTTTAAATTTTTTGCCTCGTAGGCCCCACGAGCATATAAAATCCCAATAAATGCACGTATTTCCGGTAATGTTGTTGTCCAATCGTAGCCCAATATTCGGCGGCCTTCTTCTTCTGTGCACTTTTTTATATGTTTGATAATATAATTATTTATTATCAATGAGAATGCACTGACAACATTATCTGCCATAATGTTCCTTTTTGCGTAGCCTGTTGGCCCTTTCACACCCTTGAAAACACAAGCAGATGGTGACCTTCCAGGAATACCACCTTCGGCAAATTTTATCCACACAGTACCATCGGCAGCTGTTTCAGTCTCTTGAAAAATGTTTTCAGTTTCTTCATCAGAACTACTTATCACCCTACACCTTCTCCTGGGCACATTGATGACACTTTCATTTTCATTGTTGCTGATCGCCTCTTCATCGCTATCTTCAGCATCAGATGTCTCATTTTGAATATAATCCCATTCATCTTCAGATGATAGTTCCCAATTTTTTGCATCTGATTCTATATCGGAACACTCTTCATCTATGTTCCTTAGCTTCTCCAATAACTCTCTTCTGTTCGACATTTCTTTCTTAGGGCACAAAAAAAATCAACTGAATAACGTGTTAGACCGACTGTCACTGCATAAAGCAGGCCGGTCCAAAGTCAAAACGTGCGCAGCTCGCGGTCCTTCCACTCTATCAAAGTGTATCGACTGCAGTAAGTGATCCTACAGTAAAATAAACAATGATCCTCCTTCTCCGCTGAACTACGTTGAATGAGGTACGTGGGCAGGCCTGGCATAAAGATTCGAATAACAAGTCACGTACAAGTGACGGTAATCACAAAATATATAAACTGTTATGCGAATTCGGAACCGATCTGGTCATATAAGAAATTTACTCAATGCAATAATAAAAGTCATTTGATTATTATTTAAAATTTCCCAAGCAGTCAAAATGACTGCTTTAGGCAATACAGGTATAACACATATATATACCGGAAATGAAAGAGGGGGGGAGGCAACTACAATGATTAATAAACGCATTTATATGTTGTAGAAAAAGTCACAAAATTGTAAGAAGCTGTGTCATTATATACACAATTGTTTTTCTAATTGCAATTGAAAAGCAGTCAAAATGACTGCTTTAGGCAATCTAGTGTTAAATTACTATTTTTATATCAGGAATATAAACCATTATGTAGAATGCGATATTAATAATGTAAATGAATCGTTCGTTTGAACAATTAATGTCTAATTGCGAATTTATACGACAATTATATATTTCGACGTTATGGGGCTTTTCCAAGAATTTGCCAGGCTGGCGAGTATAAAAGGCCGAGCGAAACTCGCCAAAATCGCAGAACAGTTTTCGAAGTTGAGCCAGCTAGAAGTCTTCAGATAAGTATAACCGGAACAGTTTTCGCTGTGAAGAGCCGCAACGATTCTTAATACTTGACTGGTAAAGCGGGTATACGCCATTTGGATACTTGGTCGTGGGTCGTTCTAGTAGCTAGCTAACGCAGGCTCCCCATTCAAACGGTCTCGTATCTGAAACTCCGCTAGAAGAGTGCTATACTTGGCGCCAAGAAAGGCTAAGATATCGAAAGGATAGCTCTCAGCTACTCATATTTGATTTTACATCGGATTGCTAACACGCCATCAGATTCTCGGACCTCGCTCTGGGTCGTTTCGTAGCTAGCTAACGCAGGCTCCCCATTTGAACGGCTTGGTCTCTGAAGCCCGTGTCTTTTGGGTGGCAGTTCAGCAATCACGATTTTATAATTAGAATCAATTGATTTGCTACCCTGTTGAACTTATACTGTTCACCCTTTTCCTGTATCGTTGGGTCGTTCTAGTAGCTAGCTGACGCAGGCTCCCCAATTAAGCGATCTGGTTTTGGCTGTCAGTGTTCGTTTTGACAAAAAGGGTCATGGACAATTAGTTGTCGAGTCAGATTAAAAGAGTAACTGTTCCGAGGAAATAATTCATTTAGATTCAAACAAATTTTGAACTTGAATTAGTAAAAGAATATTGTTCTGTCATTAGCGTAATCTCAGTAGTCGACTACACCGCGTTAGATAATAGATAAAATCGTTAATCTGTCTAACTTTGCGAAAGCGTATTTAGGTACACTTAGAGAATCACACTTAGGTCGTGTTCCTCGCTGCGGTAGACTATAACGCGCTAATATTATTAATTCCATGAAAGAATAATTCATTACATAAACTACAAATGTATTAATCAAGATAAACTTTGTCATTGCGATAGCGTTGAAACAAGAATCAAATAATATAGAATACCGAATTCAGTTAATCATATAAAAGCGAAGTTAGCTTTATCCGAAATCAGACTTAAGTACGAAATAACATGAAGTAATAACTAGCGAGAGTCAATTTAGTTAGATTCACAATTATCTATTACATATTGTTTAATTTACCAGGTTCTATTATTTCTATTATTAATATTATATCAAAATCTATTTAGTTTCTTTTGATCAAACCAGTATACTTTTCATATTTTGTTGTTATTTATTACTTGTTATTTGTTAAATTCATTATCTTCAGTATTTTGTTTGAATAAACCGAATTGTTGAAAGACATTGACCTGTGGATTTCACTCCTTAACCGCACACCACACGAATCCCACAATCTTTACATTTAGTTATTTTCCAAAACGAGTCGTTGAGTTGGTAAAAGCCGCTCTTTACCTTACTAGCGCTAGTAACTATCTGAATCTAGGTTCCAGAGTCGTTACACCTATTTGTTATGCGTGGCAACAATACGGAGTCGACGACTGTACGACTCGCCTCCGCGATAAGGTCACTATATCAAAGTCTATTTAGTTTCTTTTGATCGAACCAATATACTTTTCATATTTTGTTGTTATTTATTACTTGTTATTTGTTAAATTCATCATCTTCGTTATTTTATTGAATAAACCTTCTTGTTGAAAGATATTGACCTGTGGATTTCACTCCTTAACCGCACACCACACGAATCCCACAATATTTAGATTTAGTTATTTTCCAAAACGAGTCGAGTTGGTAAAAGCCGCTCTTTACCTTCCTAGCGCTGGTAACTATCTGAACCTAGGTTCCAGAGTCGTTACAGTTTCAACCTACGGTTCGAAATCTAACCGTTTCAAGGGAACGATACAGTACGAGAAAGCGTGTTTATTACACTTGAATGATTTACGACGTTATTGTCCCCAACACTTTTTCTATACCCTAATTTTGTCTATCCTGCAATTTGGTCGAGAATCGAAGACGATCACGGCTAGTGGTCGTATAAAAAAAAACGTGTTTGTACAAAATACCGTTGTACAAAACCCAACGAAATGCGTGGCTAACGATATTTATAACGATAATAACTAGGCAAACGACTACTAACGAAAACTTTTTTTTCTTCCGCGTGATCGTTACTCGGCAGTTATATTCGACAGTTACTCTAGCGTCCTTTCCTATGAATTGACCCTTTTAGGGCCCCACGTTAGGCGCCAATTTGCTACACGGTATTTTGCGGCTAGCTCGTTCGTTATCCGCAACCCCGCTTCGCCCGCGAATTCTCGAAACGGCCCTTCCGACCTTACCCGCGACTACGACCGGCGCG